CATAGCTTCAAATTGGGAAAATATCGATCAACGATCATTTTCGGGTTCGATTTGGCAACGGAGCTATGTCTTGTGCTCGTGGTCCCGCGGAGAAAATGTTGCGGCCTATCAACGTCGACGGCGCACAGTTGGAGAGGTTGGACACGATGCGAAAACTCTAAAAGCTCATATTCACGGAAAAAATTGAATTGCTGATTCAACAATTGAATTGCTAAGAAAAAGTGACCGCAATATTGCAACGTAGATTTCTCAACACAAAAATGCTACTTTAACCACCCATGTAGTTAAATTAGCTTACAATAGTGGTTAAAGTAGTATTTTTGTGTTGTGAAATCTACGTCGAAATATTGCAGTCACTTTTTTTAGCGATTTACTTGTTAAATCAGGGATTTCATTTTTTCTGTGTTTGTTAAAACAAAACGCAGGAGTTTAAAAATGGTTTCGTTGGTTTTTTGTAAAAATTTCCTTAAGATGCACCTCTCAGAATTTAAATTATGACAAAATATACGACTAAATTTGCAGGGTTTTTTTTCAAATCATCGTGTCCGAACTATCCCACGAACTCAATCCTCTGTGCGGCGGCGGTGGATGAAATAATCTCGTTGGCTCCTGCTCAAGCACAAGTGCACAAGTGAGTGCAGTGTCCATGCCGCACATAAATCTCCTATTGATTGGTCACCGTTGTCAAGTAGTAGCCCCAAGGGGCGAGAGAGGCCTCGGTCATCGTTATCGGTGGGCAGGTGTTTAGGCCAGGGGGTAGGCTACGTCCTAACCACCCTAAATTCCCGCCGTCCGTTTGTCTCCCACCCATGAAAGCCCTCCATAAATGTTAAAGACGTGACGAATGTCATGACGTCAAGTACTTTTTCTAATTTTGGACTCCCCATCGCTCGATGTAAGATACCTGGCAGACCGGCAGACACCGCAAGACCCGCCTCTCCTAAAAATTTGTAGTTAAGAGGAAGAAGGTTTGTAGTTCATGGAAATACCAAGTAATTTGATACTATTTGGAAGTGGATACTTCTTTCAGAAATTGTTCAGGGTATTCGATAATGGAAATTTCGTGCTATCCCGATTTTCCGTAATTTTGAGATTTGTTCAGTTCTTTTGACTTTCAGACCTCTTCTTTTCAGGAATTTGTGTTCATCGATTCCGTAATATTCCGTAAACAAGCCCTTGCGGAATGCTAAGGCCCTTGGAGGGTCTGCCCTTTACAAAACGCCCGAGTTTTTTCATGTGGACAACTGAAGTTTCCCACTAAAAAATGTTCACTTTGAATCAAAGTTGCTCATTTTTTTTTTGAGAGAACAACTCTGATTAGAACGATCGTGTTCTTTACGGCAACTGCAGAAAGGAAATGGTAAAGCTACCGGAGGGTCCAGCTACCAAAGATAAGTTATCCCACTTATTTCTAATTTTAGATTTCATAAATATTTGATCAGAGGTGATAGACCCGGCCCTTTACTGAGAAAAAATCCATTTGATTTTTGCCGAGATTTGGCGACTTTGTGGTCAAAGGACGTTCCAGCATATACGAAAGCTATCCGGTACAAGAACAGCGATGTTAACCGACGGTCATTACACAACGGATCGATCGGTTGTGGATCGTTCACTGAGAAAAATATTTCATACGTTTATGAATCCTGTCGGGCTTCAGTAAAACGCCGTATGATCATTCTAATGTTGCCTAATTTACTTTAAAAAATATACGAATTCTCTGTATTGCTCGTGAATTTTTTCCCTTGACAGAGACGCAAGTATTCGAAATGTCACTGAAAACCTGGGAAAATCAAAGAACTCCGTCCAAGCTTTAAACTCGGTTTCCCTAATAGGTTTTTAATGGGGTTTCTCCCGGTAGGAAACAGCGTGAACGTTTCGTGAAAGATTGCGAAAGGGAGTGAAGGAGCAGATCAGAGGCCGAATTTTGCCAGCTTTTTTACACAGAGATGCAACATCCGTCGATGAGCCCAAACCACACCACTGGTCAATCGGAGGCGCTGAGACTCCAGCGACTCGTCCTAAGTATATTTCAGTACCGGTGAAAGCTGTATACGTAACGCACTTTTTCGGCATTCCCCCCCCCCTCCTCCTTGTAACGCTTGTGTGGAGTGGATTCCGATCCTTTAACACGTAAAAACAAAATGGCGTGACGCTCTCCTAGACTCCCCCTCCCTCCTAGTGCGTTACGTAATTTAGGGACGGCACCTCACTCACCTCGAAATTAGGTATTTCACCAGAAGAATTTTGGCAACATCATAACGTTCTTACGGCGTTTTTCCGTAGCTTAACAGAATTTATTTCGCGTGTGTGTCAAGCCCAAGTCAGGTGCGCGGTGCGGTGAGTTATCATGTCCTCCCGTGATAGAGACTTGGCCCCGTTTTGTAATAACGAGGCAGTGTTAATAAGTCAGCGCCGGAGACGGTAATGATATGCGAAGTGTGAACGAATGCACGCTTCCATTGTCATAAACAAATAAATCATGCGAATATTGGATATGGATAATTAAAATTAATCGAGCGATGGGAGAACGTCCATTCGCGTGCTCCCTGCCAAGATGGAGGTGGTGTGGGCTCCGCCCCTTCGAGGGTTCGGGGCAGGCTTAGTTATACAGGGTGATCCAAAAGTGCCGTTCCACCACTACACTGCTGTGCCAAGGAAAAACGACGTATGAACATTCGAGAATTGCCAAATTTCCTCCATTAAATGTTTATTTTTGAGGAGAATTATCAATATTTTTCCTTGAAATATTCAGATTTTTTAGATCAAATTACAAGCAAAATTACTTGAGACGTTGGAAGGAAATTATTCACAAATTTTCTTGAAAATTAGTGATTTGTCAAAGGTAAGGTAACGCTTGAAGGCTTATAAGTCGTTTTTCTTTAGCACGGCCGTAGGGCTCTTACCCTTTTTCGGGATCGTCTATGTAAAATGTTAGGGTTTCCCAATACTCGTTTCGTTTATCCTAGTTGCACTTACGCGCAATTTCAATCCTCTATCTCACTTTGTTTAAAAGTTACTGGGTGACGCTTGAGGCTAGTGGTGTAGGATTTTTGGATCACCCTGTAGGATCAGAGATAATATATTTTGGGGACCTCGCATCAACAATCTAAGCAATGTAATTGGCTCAAGCAAAATTTAAGTTTTTCGCCCAATAATGATCGACGAGCAATCGATCCTTTTATATACAGGTTTAAATGACATATCAATCGATGTATCGCAAAGCAAGCCGCGCCACTGATTTCACCCTCCATATTGATGGAGCTTGGAATAATTTAATTCCCTCAATCAACGAACTTGGATGGAGGTGTCTCGCTCTGTACACCGGATTAATCCATGGATAAATCGAGCATGTCCGGTTCGCTAACCAATCGACAAGTCATTGGGTCATCAACCGAATCAAACAAGGAACGTTTCTTTTTTGGATAAACAATCGACGAAAAATCTTGGAACGAAAATCGGAGAAGACGCCTCACAATTGGACTATATTTTGTAATTAGTAACTATTTCTGACTCAGTTCACAAACCGCATAAGTACCATTAGCTTTCCCATGCACCTACGTGTTTTCACGAATGAGTCAGAAATTAAAATTCCTAATAGCAAAATTTAGTCCAATAATGGTCGCTGGCATAAAACAACGAGGGGGGAAAAACTCAGCATTCTGAGCTCTCATCGAAGAAAATGTTCTAAGGTCATTTCTTTACTCCTTCGCTCTTTAACGGCCTGAGATGCTAAGGCACGACTTTAAAATAAACGTATAGTACTAGGTACTAATACTACTAATATTACTACTTAATACTTCTTATCCCTACTTTCCCTACATAGCTCCGCACGCTCTGGAATTAGAACCGCGTTGTCATGGTAACGAGAGTTTGTTATTTTTTAACGTTATGTTTTTATCTCCCATGGTATTTTCGTGTTATTTCTCGTGTAAGGTTTCCGATCTTTTTTTGAGCTCAAACCGATTTAGTTTTCGTTTATGTTATGCCAATAGTCTAAGTTCTGAGGCTTGCATTGGACGAAACATGTGAAAACTTGATTGTGAAGTGAAGTAATGAAAAAGCTTTCGCGCTGAGAACAATATTTTTAATTTAACGGATCTTTTCTGATTGTGCAGACTCTTTCTTTTTCGAGCACTTTTAACCTGATCAGTTTTTCTAGTAAAGTTTCTTTCTACGATTCTCTCTTTTTCTTCCTAGTATAGAGAAAAAAATGAAAGTTCCTCTTTCATCATCTCACGCGGCATGCGACAACAACTCTTTTAATTTCATGTCTGGATGAAACATTAATATTGAACGACGTAAGTGCGGGAAGTAACGAGACAGTCCTCAAGTCACAGACATAAATCAGGATTTTTATTTTTCACTATTTATTTTAATATAATTATTGCAAACCTCTGAGTAAAACTTTTGAACTCAGTCAGAAAAGGAATCCATGATCCGGCAAGACTCCATTCAGTTGATTGAAATTACACTGAAAAAAAATTCTCGGCGTTTTTACGAAGGTCTGTTGGTACCTTTACCGTCTCATTTTTTTTACCAATTATTGGTTATTTTACCAAGACAAACTGGTAAGCTTACCTAAAAACCGGTATTTTTACTGTTTTTTCAGGTAAGAATACCACTTTTATTGGTAATCAATTCCTGGTAACTTTGCCATTTTATCTTGGTAATTCTACCACAGCCGATAAAAAATATTGGCGTTTTTACCAAAGTCCAGTAAAATTACCGAGAAAGCTCAATAATTTTACCGAGATTTCTGGGTAAAATTACCAATTCCATAAATGGTAGTTTTACCTAGAAAAAACTGGGATCAAATAGAACCCTGAATTCTTGGTAATTTTACCCTTTTCTTAGTAAATACACCAAGATTTTCTTTTCAGTGTAACATGCTAATAGGATTGTACTAGAGAATGTAGGCAACCTTAAAATGGAAAGGAAAATTTGTAGACTCATCAAACTGGAAAATGAGAACCTTCTACATCTACCCAGTTCACGAGCATTTCTGAGAGAGGTTCTGTAAATAAATGTGGTATCATGTATTGGGGCCTGAGTCCAGCCCTGGACTTGCTCTCCGTTCTGGAGAGCCTCTCGGTGACCTGCAAGACCTCCGAGGAGGTGAACATCCTCATCACCGGGAGCTTCGACTGCCGACACGTCCTGCAAACGCTGGCCAAGCGCTACACCCACGCCGACCGCCGAATTAACTTCTTCGTGCTCGAAGTAGTCGAGGAGCAGTACGGGCGGCAGCTTCTGCTCCTGACGACGGCGCTGGAGCTGGGGGAGTCGGTGGGTCCGGCGGAAAAGCCCCGGCTCTGGATGGAGATCTACGGGAACACGTTGGTGAGGCCGAGGACTCTGGATTATCTCCGACAGAGGGCGGCCTTCCTCGTCAAGTTCCTCACCGACCCGGACGCGAGACGTGCCATCCCTTCGCTCAATTTGTCCTTGCTCCAGTACAAAGAGATCGACACCCTCGAGAACGTGTTTTCTTTCTTCATGAAAAATAAGGTAAGTAAGGCAAATTAGAGTACATTTATAGGGAGAGTATGGACACCGGGTTACATGGAGATCTTAGGATCCAAAAAATGGCGAGGTGACTCCATGTGGGAGAAGGGGTTGTTGCCAACCTTTGATGTTCATCCCCTTGAACTTGCAAGGTTGGTAACTACCTAACCTATAAACTAGGGATGTCGTGATCCAAGTTAAGAAGCCGTTTTCAAATGTAATGCACACTAATGGTTTCAAAACAGAGTAAATGCATCTACCCTCGAAATGAGACAGTTGCGCTGGTCAAACAATCTTGTTTTGATGCTTGATTCTTGTAAATTAGCTAAAAATAATAAGATCTTTCTACACTCTCAATTTTGACCGAGATATCACGCTTTGAAAAATTCGTTTTATGACGTCATCCACCGCGGTAGTGACACCCTCGATTCCTTCCATGTTGCTTTCATCAGTCCATGATACACCGGTTACTCATCATGAAACTTGGATGAAAGCAAAGTGGAAAAAACTAAGGGTGCCACTTGCCACTACCGCGATGGATATAACGTCAAAAAACGAATTTTTCAAAACGCGATATCCTGGTTTATACTGAATGTAAACATTTGCTGTTCGGGCAGATCTTATCAATTTTAGCTCATCTTTAAGAATCAAGCATTAAACAACGATTCTGTAACCAGCGTGCAAAATTGACTGAAACCATTCAATATTTTACAAGAATATACCCGTGCAATTTTTGTCCAAAATTTGTCTGATTTCTGATTTCTGCGTGAGCTCAGAGGAAAAATCAGTGAACTTTTCAGTTAGAAATGCCTTAGATTCTGTTGGTAAAATGCAATTTGTGACAGGTTACTTGGCAACACTGAATTTTAGTTAAGTTCTTTCGTGAAGTGTCTGATACACCTATGCGAGCTAGACGCGCGTCTTGAGCGGCGAGTAGTCCTTCGGCCGTGTTCGGCAGTCACCGTACCCAATCAGGTCGCAACTCGCTCAAAGGTAGGTAACTCGTAGGCAACCCTTTGATGTTGTCATTACCACTATGGCTGTTAAAGTAACATCCTAGGATGTTACTTTTACATCCTATCATGCTACGTTAATTGCCAGAGTGTTAATAGCAACATCCATGAGTTGTCGCACATTTTTTTAACAACCGTAACATCCGGGACGTTACTATCGCATCTTTTTTTTCGGTGTAGCAAGCAGGTGTATCTGGCGCTTAAGGGGAACGACGCTTTCTAACGCTGCATGTTCGGTATAATTTCAGGCGTTCAACCCGGTGCGAGGGTGGGACGAGAAGCTGCGGCACAGTCTGGGAGCGCGCTACGACTTCCGCGAGGGGGTGTTCGACTGGGACCTCCAGATGAAGCTCAAGGGGATGCCCGGCTGCGGGGTGATCAGCTCGCAGGAGTACCGCTACTGGCGGAAGAGCGGCGTCGCCTTCACCTGGCTCGAGACAGAGACCTCCGAGCCAAATCCCACCCTCGTCTCCGGCATCCACAGGGTCGGGAGCCAGCTCCGGTGCTGCGGGCTCATGGGCAGCGTCGTCAACGGACCCTTCGCCGCTTTCGGCCTCACCGTCAGCTGCGAGGACGAGGAGATGTTGAAGACGACTTTCGAGAAAAGGTGAGCACGCTGAAAACAAGCTGGGCTATGTAGATGTACCGTTCGTTCCGGCGAAAGTTTCGGGAGCTGGAGCCGTAGCTTCGACTGCTCCGGGTGCCCGGAACTTACGACCTCTGAGCGCGGAACGCGAACGATATGTGTATATAGCCCGTAAGTACGGCTTCCACGGCAGTGCAGAGACAATACACAGCGTGATTGTTAAAGTTGGTAGACAAAGCTATATACAAAGAAGACCAAAGGGATATGGAGGGGCCCTATCGATGGAAGCGGGTGGTTGCGATGAACAAAGGAGGTAGGTATTAGACTAACAAACGGCAACCCACGAGAGACCCTATACTTAGTCCATCATTTCTTCCCTTTGGTTTCGTGATTCAACGTCTTTGCTTAATCTGCAGGAACCACCCATTTCAACCAATAGGATCGCTCCATATTCCCATGTCCTTTTTGTCTATATATAGAACAGCACTTTTGGAAAATTAAAACAAAAACTCAAGCTGAGATAGCTCGATTTTTTTACTGTTATCAGTATACTTAGTATATTTTTCAGACCTTTTTGAATACTTCGAATTTCTTTTCTAATTTTCATGGCCTTGATTATCCTTGAATTTTCAGTATACGCCCAAATGCACTTAAAAGTTTCTTACCCCTCCACGGTATCAAAAAGATAGGCGATGCGCAAAGCAAAAGGAAAATGTGACCTATATTTCAATCTTGCTTTGACTATCAGCAAGAGAAACCCCTTCAATTAGTATTTCGGCAACATAGACTACACTCCGATGTGGTCGTATACGTTTCCGATGAATGGACCCGACTTGGGTCTCGCAATGCAACTAATGTAAGATCGTGCAGTTTATCATTTGCCAAAGAATGAACTGTTCTTCGCCCAAATTAAGCATACAGTAAAATGAGGAAAAATTTAGAGCCCAAGTTGGGAATAGGACATATGAGTTTATACTTTTAAATTGATCATCAATATTACGTGAAGACTTAAGCTGCACAATTTTAGCAGCATTGCCCCTTTATTGGCCCTTTGACCAAAGATGCCCTCAATTTTCGATTTAATCGCAATTTGTTGAAGCTTGTGCTACGTGGGCATTTAGTTTTGAAGTTTTTAATCGCGATGGCAGCATAAATCAAGTTTAAACTAGTAGAACTGGTATAGCTGTTTTTATCATTTCAGGAATTTGATGTTTCATTTTATTTTTTAGGACTTATTTTTATTACAGGCTAAGACCAGATATAAGGATAGGATCAGTTTGACCTCCATACAAGATTATTTCAATAAGATTTTGATATTCCTTCACTAAATACTTTAATTTTATAATACCATGAGCTAAGAGAGATTTTTCCTGCTCTTTTAAATGGGGTGAATTAAATATACATCTAATTTGCAGGTATATGAAAAGAAGCACGGATTTATTCGAAAGGAAGTTGCTGCGAATGTTCCACGAAATCGAGAACGGAATGCCCTACGTGCATACTGATAACTCGGAAGACCTAAACCTCGGAGTTACGATAATCGAGCAGAAGAATATAGAGATCGAGAAGCTGCCTCTGGAACGAGACGACGCCGAAAACAAAATAGTACCGGAAACCGATCATGAAAGCGTTCAACTTCCGGGGGTCACGATTAATTTCCTGCCGTGTAAAACATTCCGTGCTTTACCGGAAAAGTATGCGGATTTTTTCGATGTGATTTGGGTCGGGCACAATTTAGTCGACCACGTCGCTTCGAGCGACCTCCTCAAGTCGGGATCGACGCAAGGGGTCCTTCTGGTAGAAAGCAGCTCGCTTTTAGTGCACTATTCGAAGGACGATCATTCGAAATACGAGAGTAAGGTTGAGGAGCTGGCAACCGAGCATCAGTATGAGAGGGTGCCTGGACAGAAATTTTCTGAGCTTAGTGTCGCTGTTTTTAAGAAAAAATTATGCGAAAGCTAATTTTAGTTATTTTCTTGTTAAGACGAGTCCGTTTTTTTAGAATGTGCCGTTGCTCATCTAACGTAAAGGTATAGTTAAGTTTAGGGATGAACCCTACACTGTTCCTATGACTCCTTGGTTTCTAAGGCTTTCTTGGAAATGGAGGTACACCCCCATGTCATGGAAGCGACATTACTGTGAGGAGGTATATGGATAACCAAAGTATGAAACCAAGTACCTCCGTTTGCCATGTTGAGGACTTTCTGTAATTTTTTATCTTTTCTTTGAAAAGCTAGTCAACGTAATTTCTCGAAAACTTCCTTGATTTTTCTTATTTGCAAGCAGAATATTCCGCATGAATTTCAGGCTGTAAAGTTGGCTTCGTTACTCTTGAAAAAAATAAAAAAGGAACAGAAAAATATTAAACACAGCAATGGAGATACGTGATTTTGTACCCTAGGCATCGATATGAGGCCAGTAAGTTACTTTAACTGAATACTCAGTTAATCAGGTCAAATATTGATTAAATTATTTTTATTATCACTGGTTTTGTATCGAATTGTAAATAATTAGTATTTGTTAATGTTATCAATAAAATTCCGCAAATGTACAAATATATAGAGTTGATTATTCTGCATGAAATCCAAAAATAATAAGGTTTGAAAATTGTTGGACGATTATTGAGATTTTAAGTGAGAGAATGCGTACATTGTAATATTCCTCTTTGATGGTGCTACCTTCTTAAGCTCTGTGGGACTTTTTCGGACCAGGGAGAAAAAAAACATAGCGCACGATGCAAGTGGATGACTTAAAGGTACTGTGAATGTGACTTCATTTGCTCTCATCGTCGTAAATTTTTCTCCAGCTGCACTGGCTGGATTTGGTGAAGTATACCTGAAACAAAACAAACAAACGAAAAAAGAAGAAGTACGAAAGCAACTGATCATAACCGTCAAAACCTCTCATCCCAAGTCAAAATCGTCATTTTTCTGGATCCCATCATTTTCGATAAATCACCCTGCTTTCACGCTCTCAGTGTGCAAATATTCTATTTTTAGACACGAGGTGTTAATACCCCTCCCTGCGCGGTGCTCAGTATTACGGTCAAAATAAGTGCCTCTCACGATCAGCATAATAATAACCAGCCAGCGCTTCCCACAAAAGTTAGATGTGTGGTTTTTTTTGTTTTGTTTGCGAACCATTGCGCAATACATCCAAGTCCCAACGCAGTGGCGTGCGGTGCGGCGGGCGCGAAGACGCGACGCGACGGATGGAAAATTTTAATCCTGCGCCCTCCTCTTTGACATCCCGAGTCCATCCTGCCCATCCTCTCACACAGGAGGCTCTAATAAGAGGCCGTTGAGTTTTTTTTACGTTTCTTCAGCGACGCAAGAGACGCATCGTCCGTGCGCCGTTATCGCGAAAAGATCCAATAGCCAGATCAAATTTTTAGTCTCTTCCAGCATATATGGACGTATTTCTGCCAAAAGAAACCACACGATACGGAAATGTAGCCTACATTTTGTATTAATTTGGGAGGTAAAACATAAAATAACCCAAGCCTCCGGATGACTCATGAGTTTCCCAGTCTCTTCATTGTTTTCTGCGCTAAATTCACCGCAAACTGCACTAAATCAACACAAGATTCGGGTTGGTTTGTGTTTCGCTTCCTGTATTAACCAAAAATAACACAAGAACACGAATCGTTTTTGCAGTGAGAGACGGGTGGGAAATATGGGGTGTACTCTAGAGAGCTGCGTAAGGAACAATGTAAAAAAGGACGAGATTCCTTTGGTGAAAATGGAAAAGGATTATACATAAAATCAAACAGAACCATGAGCTAACTAAATGCGGCACTCATGAGCTGTGGGAATGGCAAAAAAACGTTGTGGACAAAGCTCATGAGTTAAAAACGATTACTGGCGACCGCGGTGGTGGCTTCATCGCCGCTGACGTCACTGGCGCTTCGTAAATCCCATTCATTCTTACGGCCCTCAACTAACGAACACACTCCTTCTTTTCCACCCGTCTCCGGTTCCATTTAGCAGAAATGCGTACAAATGAGTTGTTATCTACTGTTTTGGCGGGCTCTTTTCAGGGCTACCAGGTTACTGTGAAAAACTCACTCAGCCGTTTATCGGTTTTAGTGGAAATTGCTTTGACTGGATTTGAAAATCGTACTGGACTATTGCCAGTTTTGGAGACTTCACCTGTTCTCCTGCTCTTCATACCAACGTTGTGCTAGCGTACGTGCGTAGGGTTTCATCCGTTGTGGCAACGTCTGGCGGCGCAAATCTGTCCCATCAATCAACCCACAAGTTAAATTCTTTGAAATGGTCGCAATAAAAAAATCATCATCCAATTCAGCGTGAATTAAATAAGCGTTGTCAAATTAGGGGCCGCGCACTTAACTTACGTGACGCCATTTGAGGGGCTTGGAGGACAAGGCGCATAGGTGCAATTTTCAAAAAAATTGAGGTATTAATGATTTGAAGCAAAACTATAGTCTTAACGCCTATTCTGTGAAAAATTTGCTCCTAAATTCCAAATTTTAAGCATCAGAAAGTCAGTTCGAACTTGCTTTCTGCCATATGGATCCATGTAATTTCGAAACATAAAATACGTATTTCTCAAAATAGCAAATACTGCACTTATGCGCCTTGTCTTGCAAGCCCCTCATTTAGGGTTCCCAATTACATTTCCAATATATAAATAGTTTGTGAACCAGTATTGCAACCGTCAAGAAAGCTGGAGATTAGAAATCATTTCAGTCAATAAATTTTATTCATTAAAAATAACGTCAAAAAAATTCGTAATGAAACGCTCCACTCAATGTGACACTCCTTAAAAATTGTGTAAACAGTCTCCCACCCCTCTCTCTGTATTTTTACATCCCTTTGGGATGGATCGTTCCTTGCGCCCAAATTCATCCCCTTACTCCCATCATATTCACGTCCATGTTCACTCATCCTTCAAAGGGAAAGTTGAAATTCAAATGAAAGGAATGTGTCATCTAGGGTTGATGAGTTTTTGCAATTGTTTCTCTCATTTAATGAGAATCCGTTGCTCGGAAAATAATAATTCTTGTCATGAAAATAAGATCGAAATGTAGAGAGAATTTTCCAATAAAAATTTATGAAGTCCCAAAATTTATGAAGTTATGAGCCTCCGACGCTTTGACAGTGAGAGAAAATAATGCATTATCTTACCAACACCGAAAAAAGAAGGGAAGTTAAATTAACATTCTGAATGTAAAAAAAGTGTGCGAGAACTTATAAATGCTGAATTACCCGCCACAGCACTTAATTTTACATCTTGGCATTGCTGAAGTAACTGCTGTGGCAGGTATTTTAGCATTTTGTAAGTTCTCGCACACTTTTTTTACATCCAGAATGTTAAATTAACTTCAATTTTTTTTCGGTGAACTCTCAACGGCTGTTACGACGTATTGAATTGCCCTCATGACCGGCGGCGAGGCGTGCTTTGCGATAAATATCGATTGATCTGCCACTTAAACCTACAGAAAAGGATCGATAAGTAAGGTGTTCGCTACGAACGGCTCAAGTCAAGAACCGATTTTTTACCATACCTTCAAATGGGGAAACATCGATATTCGATGATTACACACAAACAATTTGATTCGCATACAAGTAAAATGAACACGAAAATTTTGAATATTCATCTAATGTGGCAATCGTGGAATGAGTACACATTTGGGTGTCGGCTCCCGCAAAAGTAACTTACGTAATTTTCTGTTCCGTCTTGTTCGATTTGCTCTTCGCTGGAGCATCGGCTAAAACTTTCCGTTCGATTTTCGTCAAGGCAGGGGCAAAAAACTTGCCGGAATCCGTGCAGGACTCCATAAACGCAAGGAAGTATATGGTTACCCCACGTAGCGCGTGAATGTATTCTGCCGTGCTAAGGGAAAACGCCGTATGAGACTTCAGAAGTTGTTAAATTTCCGTCATTAAAATAATAATTTACTGGAAAAATTTGAATATTTTTCTTTAAATTTTTTAGACAGTACTGGTTGAAATTTAATTTAAAATATCTGAAAATATCAAGGGAAAATATGTATAACTTCCCCCAAAAATACATGTATTATCCGGGGATATTTGGCAACTCTCGAATGTTTATACGGCGTTCTTCCTTAGCATGACAGTATCCTAATCATGATTTTTCTATTTCTAGATTCGCAACTATGTCTATAATCACGTAGCGCCAGCTTATTGATGGAGCTAGATGGAATGTGGTTGAGGATCTAAACTTCTGAAGGCAGCATTCATTAACGTTCATTAAACAGCTCCTATTCTTAGGAGGCCCAATATAGTTTACCTTGTGGATAAGGAAGGTTTTGAAGAGATCCTTACAGAGCCTTTGCAAATCCTGGCAACCTAACACTGCACTATTTAGGAGACTATTTTACCGTATTTGATTTTCCACTGCGTGCTAAACATGTGTGCTAACAAAATGCGAAAGAAAACATTTTATTTTTAGACAAACTTGATTGTGGGTATGAATCTACAACAAAATTGGCAAAAAGAAATTTGTTTTTTTGTAGATTTGTAGATGATTGTAATCCCTATAGCAAGGGTCTATTTCCACAGTTACAGTATGTAGAGTAGGATGAACCAGAAAGAGTGGCAACGCGACTGACAGCATCCCGATGAATTTTGTTGAATTTAACAAGATTTGTAATTTTAAAGTTTTCCCTGCATATTTATAATTTGTGAAATCGAGGGCTTCGCGTGAAACCTCAGTTCTTATTTTTGTCGGGAGGCAGGCCCCTCTGAAAGTCGTGGAAAATTCCAGCTTTCCAACATGATTTATTTATTATTTGTGTTCAGTCTAGTCGTTTACCAAGTGCTGAGTCACTGTTGATCATTTCAAGCTGAGGTTGTCGTCGCAGAAGAATATGTATAAAAAAAAATACCGCATGGCACCCAATCAGTTTTCAACTAGTGTGAGTAGTTCAGGCGTGGGTAGTTATTTGGATGTATCTAAGTTGAAAGTAACTATGTGCATAATTTTGCTTGCAACATGGTTCTCTTTAGCATAATATGTTCATTTTAAACCACAAATGGCACCGCCGAGGCAAGAGATATAATTTTTCATTATAACGAGGTCTGTGCTGCTCTTCTAGATTCGCATCAACAACGAGTGTAGGT